AAAAAAAAAAAAAAAATGGAGAGGCACCAGGGTGGCTCAGTTGGTTACGTGTCCCATTCTTGATTTCAGCTCAGGTCATGATCTCATGGTTTGTGAGTTCGAGCCCCCCATCTGGCCCTGTGTTGCTAGTGCAGACCCTGCTTGAGATTCTCTCTCTCTCTCTCCCTCTCTGTCTTCTCTCTCTGTCCCTCCCCCTCCCCTGCACATGTGCACTCATTCTCTCTCTCTCTCTCAAAATAAACAAAAAAATTATAAAAAATAGAAATCATTTTGTTGTCCTGTAGCTATAAAATTAATGTAGTCTCACTGTAAAAAACTCAGATGTGAAGTATAAAAAAGAAAGTAAAAAACCACTGGTAATTTCATTATCTAAAGCTTAGTGATATACATTCATTTTTTGGTGTTTTTCAGTATGCAACTGGTATTTGCCACCCAGAAATTTTTCTCCTTCCTCTAGGAAAAGTTTCCCCAAACTTCTTTTGAGACATATGCTCCCTGCTAGTTCTCAGCCTGATGATTTAGAGATTTACTCACTGCGGCACCATGGCTGGGTCTTTAATATTTCAGCTAACCATTATAGCCCATCCCCCTGGCCGAGATATTTGATTCAAGAGTGGTCATGTGACCCAAGCCAGTTCAACCAGAGTGAAGTTCGTATCTTTTTCTGGGACGTTGAAACAAAGATGCTGTCTAGGTCCTACCGGACCTTAATGAGGAAACATGTAACCCAGGAATTGTTGGCAGCTCTCTTGGGATCTTGAGAGAAGAAACAACTCCATGGAATGTACAAGAGAGAAACAGAGAGAGAGACAGAGAGACAGCAACCAGGTCCTCTGGGACATTACTGAGCCCCTGGAAATCCTGCCTTTTCAGGTACAGGAATCAATCACTTACTTTATTGCTCAATCAGCTTTAAGCCATCTCTGCAGTTACCAGCAGCTGGGGACGTGTTCTCATCAGTATCAGTTCCTTCAGGCTTCCTTCTGGACTACATCCCCCCACAACCCCCCCAATACAGTTTTATGAAAAACTAGGGCTTGTAATATCTTTTCATGTCAAAAAATACAGACCTACATAACAATGATTTCTAGTGTCCTTCTTGCCATTTACATCTCTACTTAAATGTCATCTCAGGCTTTTCCTAACTTACTTAATATAAAGTAGCCTCCTCCCTACTCTTTATCACATGACCCTTTTAATTTGCATCATAGCTAAAAAATAATAATAATAAAATAAAAATAAATTTAAAAAAGGGGGGTGCTTGGGTGGCTCAGTCGGTGAAGCATCTGACTTAGGC